AAAAAAATAGTTATCCATTATACAGTAAATAAATAAAATTAGCTAATTTTGTCAAATATATTATATTCAATTATATATCAATACTTTAAATATATTTGTTTATATTGAGGTCAAGTTTGATTTTTATTTTACTTTTTCAGTTTTTATTAATACTTTATTTTATGACATTTAGACAATWATTCAATGTATTATAAGTTATAAGTTATACACAGTAATTAATATACAATTATTTATTTAATAAAATAATTTTCAAAAGTTAATTATTRATGTTATAATTTTTAATTTATTAATAATTAAATTTTTAAAATTTATTCAGTACATACTTTATCATTAATGTAAACATTTAAAATTATAACAAATATTATSATGATGAATCTACATTATTTCATATTTGTTATTTGCTTGGTAATATTGACACCTACCGTAAATTTAAAAAATAATAATATAATTATTAAAGTTACTTATATCATCAACATATAATACATTAATTAATTAAKATTATTGATAAACATRTATATATATATTTTWAAAAAATATTTTCTCATAATAACAAAATATTATAATGTTAAYTTTTTTTAAAAAAAYTAATAATAATATTACCCCTTGTCCATAATAATCAARTGGCATTATAGTTTGTCTTTTCCATAATTTTGATTTATCATTAAATAATTCAATTATATTTTCATCCTCTAATCATTAGAAAAATAAATAAAAAATAAATGATATTAATTATTATTGTTGCAAAATAATAATAATAATAATCTTACTTCCMCCAGCCAGGTACAGTTGACCATCATTGACAAGTAAATGTAAATCCCATTTGTTTGAATCCAACTCAKCTATTGTAGAGTAAGTGTTTGTAAATATATATATGATATATGATATATTGTAAAGAAAAATAATCAAAATTTTTAAAATAAGATMACAAAACAATTTATTTTTTWKTAKTTTTTAYAAAGTTAATTCATTTTAAGATATATTAATATGAATTTTAATGACTAACCGATTTGTGTCCATTTGTTGGTTTTGGTATCGTATGCCTCACATGTATTGCTGGGATCTTTGTCATGAAATGTGACGCCACCGCACACATAGATCTTGTTATTATAGACTACAGCACTGGGTAGTGATCTAAGAGGATATTACAGTCCATAGATATACAACATATTAAATGTATTATTTTATTTGAATTATTAATAAACAACAAAAATATCTAACCTTTCTCTTGTCAGCGAAGCTACCGGTGTTCACAAATTGGTTTTCGGATCATAACGTTCGACAGTTTCTTTTGATTCGCCACCGATTGCATACAGATAGCCCTCATGGGCTACCAGTGCGTGAAAACTTCGGGCCACAGACATCGGTGCCAATGATTGCCATTTACCGGTTTCGGTTGAATAGGACTCACATGAATTGATCTCTTTTCCTTGACCTATGATATGATAATAATATATATTATTACTGTCACTACAATAGTACTACTTTTACTTTACTATTATCTTTACTATCTGAAAGACCGCCGCAAACATATATTTTATTATTTAGTACATCAGCGGCCGCACCACTTGATAGACAATAATAATAATAATAATTAATAATTTTGATTAAAATAATAAATAAATAATATATGTGTTAATCATACAATCTATTAGTAATTAACGATACTGTGTTATACCAATTGCCAGTATTAGGATCGTAAACTTCATTAGTATCTAGAATTTTGCCATTATATTATATTAATATATAATAAAATATATTTATTTTATAATATAAATATTGTTTTATATATATATAATTCAGTAATAATTTAATAGAAACAAAATTAATTGAACAAAATTAAAATTTACATGATTACCGCCAATGGCATATAGTTTATTATTGAATGCAACTAGGTTAAACAAATTGCGTGCAATGGACAAGGATTCAATTGATGTCCATTGATTAGTCTGGATATTATATTTATTACAGTCAGCATAATCGCGGTCAAAATGTTTATAACCACCGCAAACATATATTTCACTTATTTTATAGATATTAAATAAAAAAATAATATTAATAATATACCATATATTTCATAAATATTTTAAAAATAAAATATTTTTCTAAAAAATAAGCTTACTTATTATTTTGTATTTCCTGTAGAAAAATTTAAAAACAAAAAATAATTATAAATATTATTTTTAACAATTATATTTTATTAAACAAAAATTTACCTGGTCAGTTGCTAGATGAAATGCGTAAATTGTAGCCAAGTTAAGACAAATAGTCAAAACTTTAATCCTAAATAAATTGATACAAACCATAATTAGTAAATTAGTTTATTAGAAAACTTAAAAATAAATTCTGTTGATTACCAAAAGTATTGTTTTATTTAATTAATTTAAATTGAAATTAATTACAGATTTATATACTATCTGTATATTTTTAAAATTATATTTTATCACATATATTAGTCATTGTTTATCTTATTCGTAAATATATCATTTTGTTAAATTACACATTATTTATTTTTTTAATCAGTCTTAAAAAATTGYTACTTTATTTCAATTGTTATATAAAATTGATTAATAATTAAGGTTATCAYTTTAAGTACACTATATCGGTTACTCATTGATTAATTATAAATTGTAATAGCTAATATTTTATTTAAACAATTATCAATAAATTTATTTGCATTAATAATAATAATTAGACATTTATCTAWTTTATTTTTTAACAAGATAATTTCTAATAATTTCTATACTATATTATAATATTTTTATAATTAGGCATCTTGTATGACTCAAAGACAAAAATAAATAACAATTAATTAATTTTAAAATTTTATTTATCATGAAATTGATATTCACTGTTTATGTACATATAATAATTTATAAAATTATTAAAATAAAGTACTTCTAAAATAGCAATTAGTATTTTATCTAAAAATTAGTTATTACACAAAATACATATTTACAAATGAAATATTATTTTTTTTTTGGTTTAGAGTTATATCTTTTTGGTATCTGTTTTGGACAGCGCACCCATATAGCCATAACCACCCCCACCATAGCCGCCACCGTAACCATAGTTTGGATAATAGCCGCCATAACCTCTGCCATAACCACCCCAAAWTGGTCGGTTACCAAACGGCCGGTAACCTCCATAACCTCCAAAGCCACCATAACCACCAAACCATCGCCTCCTGAATCCCGGATAACCCCAATATTGATTGGACTTTAAATCTGGAGTACCCGAGTTGAGAGTATCACCATTGTTTTGTTGGACATCAATGGTCTCGTATTCATTTGGTGACAACTGTTCCCGATTGCCGGCGACGGCATTGGTGTACACCGTTTGAATGCCTTGACATTGACATTGATTTTGTTGTAAATAAATGAATAAAACTGATATAAAAACAAAACTTATGACAAATATTTTTGACATTTTTTACAAATGTTTTATTGATCACACAATTTGTCTAAATGTATAATTTTAGTAATAAAAATAATGCTTTATATACTTGGATTCACACAAAAAAATGATTTACATATTTAAATATTGAATATAAATAATAGCAAATATTATCAAATAGTTTATAAATGTATTGTAATACAAAAAATATAAACATATAAATGTTAACAAAAGTTAAAAAACTTTTAATGTATTATTTTTTTTAATATAAAATTCAATAACCTTAGTATATTTTTTTTATTTCCTAAATTTAAAGATAAAAGCTATTTTTAGCAACTATTTAACTAAAAGTAAAATTATTTTAAAAATCAACCTGCTAGACTAACAAACAAAATAATATTTTTATATTTAGTAGTTAGCAATTTATTGTAAAACAAATATACAGTATTATATAATAACAGCAATCAAGTTCAATGTGACTATATATTTTTACACTATTTATATAGCTGTATTATTATAAAATTTAATCAAAACGATTAGKTTGTTTAAAAATGTCATATATTACTAATTAACTAATAATACTAATAAACGTTTAATTATTATTATTATTTATTTTAACTATTTTATGTAATTGTTCGGCTAAATGTGCAAAAGTATATACTGTATATACTGTATAAATTTTTTAGTAAAATTTATGATATATTTGGAAAAGTAAACTTAATTATTTTATAATTCCTATAGAAAAATTAAAAATATCAACAACAAAAATAATAAGATTTATATATTTAGTATATTATTTTGACAATTTTTTTGTTAGCAAAAAATACCCTGTTTGTTGTTAGATGTAGAAATTGTAGAAAAATTGAAACAAATAACTAGAACTATATAACACTAAATAAATTGTTGCAAACCTTAGCTATTAAATTGGTTTATTATTAGATAATTTTTTTTATTATAAAAGAGTATATTTTTATTTATTTTATTAGAATTTATTGTAGATTTACAGTATATACTATTTTTATTTATTTATTTTAATTGTTAGTAAAACATTTTAATTAAAAAACTAATCTGAGACTAAAATATTGTGTTTTTTTATTTCAATTGTTATATTAAGGTTATCAATTTAAGTGCATTATATCATTTACTCATTGATTAATTATTAAGTATACTAGATAATATTAAATTAAAATTATAATCAATAAAATTTAGATTATTAGTCATAATTAGACTTTAAGCTAGCTCTATTTTAGCAAGATAAGTTTAATTGCTAACTTTTTATATTAGTCATACTGTATGATTGAAAAAATATATACAGAAAACATTGCAATAAATTTATAAATTTTTCAAATATATTATATTCTATAAATTTTGAGATCAATTTAGATAATAATTAAATGCATATGTATTATAACTTTTAAAATAAATTAGATACAAATACTTATTGAATATAAATTATTTATTTTTAAAAGTTTGAGTATTTATTATGGATTATTTRATAAAATAATTTTTAAAAATTAACTATTGTTATAATTTCAAATTTATTAGTAATTAAAATTTAAAATTCATACAGCACATATTATTTATAATTATAATCATTTACAACAAATTTCATTAGTAAGTTAAATATTAAAATTTAAAATTATTATAAATATTATCATGATGAATCTATGGTATTTCATGATTATTTGCTTGTTAATATTGCCACCTAAAAACAAACAAAAAAATAATATTAATCATAAATTTATATATTGTTTATGATATGTTTATATATACATTATTGTATATATTGTACATTAATTAACATAGATTATTGTTAAACATGGATATATTAATTAAAATTTTAAAAAATAAATAATATATAATATTACCCCTTGTCCATAATAATCAAGTGGCATTATAGTTTGTCTTTTCCATAATTTTGATTTATCGTTAAATAATTCAATTATATTTTCATCCTCTAATCATTATATTTTTTAWAAAAAATAATTTTAATTTATATTAAATACTCGATCTATTTTTTTAAAATAATAAAAAATAGTATTAATAATAATCTTACTTCCACCAGCCAGGTACAGTCGACCATCATTAACCAGTAAATGTAAATCCCATTTGTTTGAATCCAACTCAACTAATAATACAGTATATGTGTGCAAAAAATTTATATTTAAATATTTGTATTTAACAAATTAATTAATTTTATATTAATATGAATTTTAATGACTAACCGATTTGTGTCCATTTGTTGGTTTTGGTATCGTATGCCTCACATGTATTGCTGGGATCTTTGTCATGAAATGTGACGCCACCGCACACATAGATCTTGTTATTATAGACTACGGCACCGGGTAGTGATCTAAGATAGTATTACAGACCATAGATATAAAACATATTAAATGTATTATTTTATTTGATTTGTTAATAAAAAAAACAAAATTATCAAACCTTTTCTGTGTCAGCGAAGCTACCGGTGTCCACAAATTGGTTTTCGGATCGTAACGTTCGACAGTTTCTTTTGATTCGCCACCGATGGCATACAGATAGCCCTCATGGGCTACCAGTGCGTGAAAACTTCGGGCCACAGACATCGGCGCCAATGACTGCCATTTACCGGTTTCGGTTGAATAGGACTCACATGAGCTAATTTCTTGGCCATCGCCTATATGTACACAAAATATTATTATCACTAATACTATTATATCTACTATTTTTTTTATTTACCATTTTTATCTGAACGACCGCCGCAAACATATATTTTATTGTTTAGTACATCAGCGCCCGCACCACTTGATTGATTATAATATTAATAATAATAAGATAATTAAATTTAATTAAAATAAAAATAATAATTGTGTTAATCATACAATCGTTTAGTAATTAACGATGCTGTATAAGTCCAATTGCCAGTGTTTGGATCATAAACTTCATTAATATCTAGATTATCGCTATCCTATTACGGTATATATATATATATATGAATAAATAATTTTAATAATTTAATAGTAAATTTATATTTAAAAAAATTAAATTAATAAAATTAAAATTTACATGATTTCCGCCAATGGCATATAGTTTATTATTGAATGCAACTAGGTTAAACAAATTGCGTGCAATGGACAGGGATTCAATCGATTCCCATTCATTAGTCTGGATATTATATTTATTACAGTTAGCATAATCGCGGTCTAAATGTCTATAACCACCGCAAGCATATATTTCATCAGGACTAATTTTATAAAAGATTAATTAAAAATTAATATAAATATATATATATATTAGAAATTATTTATACTGAAATAATATACAATATTAATAAGATATATTTCCAAWTATAAACTTACTTATTTAGTAAATCCTGTAGAAAAATAAAAATAACAAAAAAAACAAAAATTATATTTATTATTTTTAACAATTTTATCAAACAAAAATTTACCTGGTTAGATGTTAGATGAAATGCGTAAATTGTAGCCAAGTTAAGACAAATAGCTACAACTTTAATACTAAATAAATTAATGCAACTCATAATTAGTAAATTAGTTTGTTATAAAACTTAAAAATAATTTTTGTTGATTAAAAAAGTATTTTTATTTATTTAATTAATTTAAATTGAAATTAATTACAGATTTATATACTATAATACTATTATAAAACTTCAAAATAATTTTTCAGGTTTATATACTATTTGTATTTTATTATAAATTAGTCATATTTTATTTAATCTTAAATATATCATTTTGATTAGAAAATTATAATGAGTCTAAAAAAGTGTGTTTTTTAATTTCAATTGTTTTCTGAAATCTTTTTAAAATTAATCTTATATATATATTTATACATTGATTATTTTTATATGTGCTAAATTTATTTATCAATTTTTTTAACCTTATTGGCACTTATATCGTTAAATCACTGATTAATTATAAATTGTCATAGAAAATATTTTTTAGACAATTTATAATTAATCAGTGATTTAACGATATAAGTGCCAATAAGGCTAAAAATTTAAGTGCTAATATTGTACTAATATATCTAATAGTAGTATAATATAAGTAGTATAAGTTTTTATAATTAGTATGACTCATACATAAAGATAAATAAAAATTAATCAATTTTTTTAAAAAAATTATTTTATTTATTATGAAATAGTTATTCGCTGTTTTTATGTATTAGATTTACATATAATAATTATCAAATGATTAAAATAAAGTAATTCTAAAATAATAATTAGTATTTTATTTAAWATATATTATARCTATTTTTATTACTCATATTTACAAATGAAATATTACTTTTAGCTTAAAGTTATATCTTTTTGGTATCTGTTTTGGACAGCGCACCCATATAGCCATAACCACCCCCACCATAGCCGCCACCGTAACCATAGTTTGGATAATATCCGCCATAACCTCCGCCATAACCGCCCCAAAATGGTCGATTACCAAACGGCCGGTAACCTCCATAGCCTCCAAAGCCACCATAACCACCAAACCATCGCCTCCTGAATCCCGGATAACCCCAATATTGATTGGATTTTAAATCTGGAGTACCCGAGTTGAGAGTATCACCATTGTTTTGTTGGACATCAATGGTCTCATATTCATTTGGTGACAACTGTTCGCGATTGCCGGCGACGGCATTGGTGTACACCGTTTGAATGCCTTGACATTGATTTTGTTGTAAATAAATGAACAAAACTGATATAAAAATAAAACTTATGACAAATATTTTTGACATTTTTTTTCTCCGATATAAAATGTTTTACAATTATTTTATTTATTATCACATAAATTGTCTAAATGTATAACTTCTAGTAATCAAAATAATGCTTTATATACTTGGATTCACACAAAAAAATGATTTACATATTTAAATATTGAATATAAATAATAAAAAACAAATTTCAAATAGTTTACAAATTTATTATAATAATAAAAATATAAACAAATAACTAATAACAAAAGTTAAAAAACTTTTAATGTTTTATTTTTTTAATATAAAATTCAATAACCTTAGTATATTTTTTTATTTCCTAAATTTAAAGCTAAATTTAGCTATTAATTTTATTTGTTACTAACAATAATATTTTTATTGTATTTAAAAATAAAATAATTTATATTTAGTAGAAATTTATTGTAAAATAAATATATAATATTATACACTATAATAACAGCAATCAAGTTCAATATCACTATATTTTTTGTATTTTTTTAAATATTTGTTTAGCTGTATTATTGAATATTTAATTTTTATAGTAATTTTAAATTATATTATTATAATTGTTATAGATTTTAGTATTTTTATATATTAGTTTCATTGCACTCATTATTATAATGATAATATGTATGAAAAATTTTAATAATAAATTCAATCACCTTTTTTTACAAGAAAAAAGTTCACTAAAATTTATTTAAGTTTTATATTTTGTCAATAAATTAATTTAGATGTAATTAATATATTGTATATATAAATAAGCAATAATTTACTAGAACATGTTAAAATTTATTAATTTTTTAGTAATTTCAAGTTTTTTTTAAATCTAATATTATAAAATGTTTTATTTATGGCAAATATTTATTATAATTACAACGATAGTTGCTATCAATTTAATAGTTTGTGATCAACAACAACAACACCAACAAAATGATGAACAAAACATCAATTTAGTCAACAAATTGTTTCCAACAATATCTTCAACTAAATCAATGGATGACAAGTCTKCTGATTACAAACGACTGCCTTTATATCCAATATATGGTTGGAGGAGAAGATGGGGTTGTCGTAGATGTWATGGAGGTTATGGTGGTTATGGTGGCTATGGTGGCTATGGTGGCTATGGTGGCTATGGAGGTTATGGAGGTTATGGAGGTTATGGAGGTTATGGAGGTTATAGAGGTTATGGTGGTTATGGTGGCTATGGTGGACACAGAGGTTATGGTGGTTACGGTTTCAATGGTGCCTCTCATGCCATGGAGTCGTGGAAAAAATGGGGACCAACTTATGGTCGACTCTTAGAGCGTATGAATTCAGTAAATGAAAGTGATATCAATAATAATAACAATTATTACAATATAAATGCAACGCAAACTACATTGCTTTTACAATCATAGATACTCAAAAAATGTAATTGTAATGTAAATATTAATTAATAAAAATAAATTTATTAATATATAAAGTACTGTATAATATTGTTAAAATCATAAATCGAAAGTTTCTTCTTAATTAAATAAATAAAAAAAAGTTTTTTTTAGTAAAAAACTAAAGAATGTGTTAAAAATTAAGTTATTATAGATATAGTCTATAATTTTAGATGTCAAGTAAAAAATAACAACAATTATTGTATATCTAATCTCATGCAACTTATAAATAACTATTTAAAATAGAAATTTATTTATTTTTTAAATTAACTAATTATTTTTTATGAAACTACATATACTTGTATAAATACTATACTTTTACTTTTTATACTAATATAGATTTATAATTATATAAATATATAATAATAATAATAATAAACTAAACTATAATCACAAACTAAAAGTTTATTATAACAAAAAAAATTTAATGGATTTTAGCAATTATTACAATAATTTTGATGACTTGGGAACAGTTTTTATTGATGAGATAGTAGTCTATGATTTGGAGCTATTGTGGCCAAACATTTACGAATATCTGGAGAATCTGATTGTCGGGTTTGCGGTCATGTTTTTGTTGGTCTATACATTTGTCTCAATTATTATGACCGACTCTTTTATTATATTTTTGAACACAACTAACGATAGATTTTGGCAAAACATTCAAATTATTAGCGATATATTTCAATGTATTAATCCCGTCTTTAGGTAAATATTATTATATATTAATTATTTATTTATCATAAGTAAATATTATGGGATAGTTATCATTAAAATAATAATAATTTTTTACTAATCATTTTATTATGGATAGACAAGAAACTAATGATCTAAAATATCAATTTATATATTAATACATTTATTACATAATGTAGTAAACATTACGTAATACCTGTAGTTTAAATGTTACTGTAATSTATTTAATGTAGATTTTTATGATATATACATAATATATTTATATAAAGTATTAAATTATGATTTATATTATTTTCTTGAATATCGTTTAAAAAAACATAACTAAATAAATAAATAATAATAATTAAGTTTACTTAATATATTAAGTAACATACAGTATAATCAACAAATGTAATATACATATCAATATATAATATCTATTAGTATTTTTATTTTAAACTCGACAAACAAACTAAAATTATCTCTAAATTATTTTTCAACTATCTATAAATATATATATTTTTTTAAAAATAAAAGTCATAATTATTTAATACACACATAGACTTGTCAATGAAAAAATATTGGATGATTACAAGAGATATCTGGATCATAAAGATTATGTACGACTATTGAAACGATACGAACGATTGAAACGGGATATCGAGTCCCGAAGCGAACTGGAAAAACGAAAGTTTAAACAAAAATATCTGAGACTTCAGCGCCGATATTCAAAGTCTATCGGTGTTATACTATATGATGAAAAAAAGTTGGACTTATTGGAGAAGAAGATGGAAAAAATCGATAGAATCAAGAATATGCCGAAAACATATGTTTTGGCCATCAATGAGGTAATGGTTGACAACAACAATACCGACGATGATATGAGTGGCCGACAACAACAACGCGATAAACAAATCAAACAACTGGTCGATGGGATGCATGTGTTGAATAAGACAGCAATTATTACTGGAAAGACACACAAAATTAGTGATAATTAGTTATAAATCATATCAAATAGACTATACATACTATATATATATATATATATATATGTAATTTCTTATCTATTTAGTTCACTGTAAATATAATTACCGTAAATATTATTATAATAATAATATTAGATAACAAAACTAGATTTATAATAATTTTAGTTTTTAACTTTATTTATTGGATATATTTATATATTTTATTTATATTTAAACTTTTTTTTTCTTATAAAAAAATAAATTCATAAATCAAATCGTAACAAATTTGTTTACGTATTATTACAATTTTAAATACTATTTTAAAGTATTTGAGTATTTTTAAAAATAATAATTTATAATTATTTTTGTTGTTATCGATAATTAATATTTATAAAAAAAATAGACACACGACACACAAATGACTTTGTCAATACATTTAAATAAAAATAAAAAATTAAAACAAAAATTATCACAAATTAATAAGTCGTTATGAAATAAAAACTTTTACAAATATTTACAGTACAATACAATATGTGTTTTTATATGTTTGTCGATATTTTATGAAAAAAAATTAATTATCATTAAAGAGAAAATCTGATAAATACTACTAAATTGGCGTCTGATATGTAAACAACAAAAAGTAAACAATATTTTTATGGAAATATTAAAAAAATGAGAGACAGTTATTAAATTAATTGTTTCAAAAAAATACTTTTTTCAGATTAAAATTCATATATAATAATAATAATTAAGTAAATCATAAGAAAGAAACAAATAATAATTAAATGAAAGATATCATTGGATATCATATGTGAGAGAAAAGTCAATAATAATAAACAACAGAAAAACAAATGCGAAGACTATATATATATATAACACATATTAGATGTGTTGTGTCTCTCTGTTTGTCCATCACTTCAAGAATTTGGACCATTTGCTGACCGGTCGGCTGCCATACAATTGGCTGGGATTTTGCCATAAGATAGCGGCCGCCGTTGACATCGTCGTCGTCGATGTGGACAACGATCTCTGGTCGTCGTCACTGAGCCGACCGTTTTGGCGGCGATCATCAAAGTGATGGTCATTGTTGTTGTTGTCGTTATCTTCATCTGACGACAGTTTCAGACGTTTAGCACTCGACGAATCTGTTGTCATTGAAAACAGAGAAAAACAAATTGAAAAAAAACCAAAAATACAATTGAATTACACAATCAAATGAGTTGTGTTTTTTTTGGGCGCCAAACACAACTACAACAACAATCATACCATCGCTCGAGTCGTTGCCGACATCGTCGTCATCATCGGTAACATAAGTGGCTAACATAGCGGCCAATATCTTGGCGTCGATATCATCGTGATTGGGCACCACCTGAGTTGTGTCCATTGTTATATCGCGGCAGCGGCCGATTGTTGTAAAGTCCAATTGTTGTTGGTGTCCGACACTGTTCAACGATTGTACAGTTAGTCGGCATTCTCTGGCCGATCCGCGACCATAAAACTGTTTAACCGATTGTTTCTGATCGCATACTTTGCACAACCATTTGATTGATTTCTTTGACTGTTGGATCTGATAGGTGTCACAGTGGCAGCACTTGAGCACAACAAACTCTTGTGGCATTGTTTTTTCCCAACCGAAGAGTCAGTGGTGGTCAGTAGTGGCCAATGAGAGAGAGATATTGACAGTTATCGGTACCGAAAAATGGTTACCGAAATAAATGTCTGACAAAAAAATATGAATTGAATTCAAGTTTTTGTTTTTTATGTTTCAATAAAATTCAGAATCGAATCACTGTTTTGTTGTTTGCATTGAATTCTATTATACACTGTATTTACAGTAAATATTTTGCATTCAATGTACAATACATTCAATATATAGTCAATACATTTGCCGCACATTTCTATATGTAATACAGTATTATTAATACAGTCTATACTGTATATTGAGAGAGAGAGTCGACTATACAAAGCATACACACATATATAACGTTACCAAACTATTCAAAATTTACACTTAATATTACCACTTTAGGAGGTTTGAACTCCCTGTTTGTTTGTGTGGGTGTGTTGAGTGCCATTCAAATACAGTAAATGCTGGCGATGTTCTCTCCTCCCCTTTTAATACCGTTACGTTGTTTGTGTGTGTGTTTGAAACTGCCATACTATAGACAGCATGTGTTTTGATGTGTTGTTTTAAATCACATGAAAATCACATTTTTTTTATCGTTTGATTTAAGTTTTTTAAAACTAAATTAAAAGACAATTTGTTTTTGTTTTTTTGTGTGGATTTCATCTACTAATTCAAGACTAGATTATATCATTGAAGAAGTGATTAGTAAAAGATAACAACAAAAACAATAATAATGCCATCAAAGGCAAAGAAGTTGAAGACACCGATAAAGTTGGAGAAGAAGAAGACGACGGCGACGACTAATGATGACAATAAGGATAATAAACGAAAGACACCGAAACAGTTGGTGACTAAAGAAGTAGTGTCGTCGACGACGAAAAAGGTGTCAAATGAGACACCGAAACAATTAGAGAAAGAGTCAGCACCTCTGCCGTCGTCGTCTTCGCCGCCGCTCTCCAAGACATATGTGTCGACCAACAAACTCCAAGAAGCGATTGAAACACTGAAGAAAGTAGTAGCCGTTCGCAACAACGAAGCCCTCAAAAAGGATAAACTACCGCTAATTGATGACCAAAGCGACAGCCGATTTGTACACTTGCAGATCAACTACAAGAAGATTAACTTAAATAAATCGATTTATATCCAATCGATAAGTTTGCCGAATCATTGGCGACACGAAACTGCTTGTGAAACCTGTCTTATTGTTGACGATGTTAACAAAGAGCGGCTGAAAGACAGAGATCTGGATTTAGGTTTGTTTTTTAAGTCTTTAATTTTGTAGTCAATTTTATAACAGCTTTTTGTTTTATTTTGTAGACACAACTAAACAACATTATAGAGATCTATTAGATGCCAGTAATGTCGGCGAATTGATCAGCGAAATATTGCCGCGTCGGGAGCTGAGCACCGAATATACGATACCCGAAGCCAAACAACGTCTTTGTCGCGGATTTGACACATTTCTCTGTGACCGCAAACTAATGCAAAATAAGTTTGACTTTTTGCCACAATTTCTCGGCAAAACTTTTTGGATCGACTACAAGAAGGTTCCGCTTCCCGTTGACCTCAAATCGACAACATTGCGCGCCGATCTCGAGGCCAAACTCAATCAAACACACCTTTATGTTACCGGATTTGGGGACACTCATTGCATCACTATTGGTAATGATAATAATAATAATAGCCATTGTTAACAAAGATTATGTTTTTTTATTTATATTTATTAGGTCTAGTAAATCAATCGACTGACCAATTGTTGGCTAATTTGGTGGCCGTACTCGAGTTTGTGTCTCAAAAGTTTGGCAACAATATACGATCGCTGTCCATCAAAACTGATAAGTCAATGGCCATAACTTTTTATCTCGACTGCGGTCTTATTAGTGACATATATCTTGAACGCAAACACAGCGATCAGTCACCGATTGAGGACGACTTTTCGCATTTCTTGAACGCCAAACTTAAGGTTTTCAGGTCGGGTGATGTCAAAGTAGTAGCCAACGATGATGGTGTCGATGATGATGATGCTATGGACGAGGATATGGTGGCCGAGAAACAATTTTTGGCCATCACTGAGAAGGATGACAAACGAAAAAAGGCGTTTAAAGAGAAAATGAAAAACAATAAAACATTGAATAATAGACATAAGAGAAAGACATTCAAATTGAACGCTAAGAAGAATAGACCAGTCAAGCGAAGACTAGGAACCAAATCCAATGATAATAACAATACTAATGATAGTAATAATAATAATAATGAATAAATTATATTATTTTCCGACAATTATATGAAATTTGTTATTTTTAATGAATTTCAAAATAATTAAAAAATATTTTTTTTATTAACTGTTATTTTTGAATATATTTAACTTAAATATTGACTTACTGTAATTACCGGTATTATTATTTAATAATTTATTACGATTAATTTTAAATGTAATTAAAAAAATTTTTATAATAATTATGGTTAATTGAAAATATTACCGGTAATGAAATAATGTTTTTTATAGAGTTTACGGTATAATAAAAGTTTTATTTAACAGTTTATTGGTTTGAAATTTGTATTTTAATATTGATTTTATTTATTTATTTTTTGCAAAATTATACAAAATTGAGATTTGATATATTTTTTTAGGAAATATTTCAAATTATTGATCGCCTGTTTCACCACCAATGATACATTTGTTGATCATATCCCTGAGCATCTTATTGCATAGTGCAGCGTACGGATTCAATTGGACTACCAGTGCTTTGGCAAAATCGTTACCCAAATTAGCCGACAATTTCATGTCCTCAATGCCTGATATTTTAGATAATAATCAAATTTATTACAAAACCAACTAAAAAACATAAACAAGAAATCAAATGCCTTCGGCTTCTCTTTTATGTAACAAATGAATGAGTCCTCTCTGACAGTAGGCCTGTCGGGCCACTAGTCCTGTACCAGAGCTCAGTCGTATGGCTTCATTCAAGTCTTGCAGTGCCACTGATTTATAATATTACGATTAAGTATGAAATTTAAATTTTAGTTAATTTTAATTATTTATTTTTAATTAAAAAAAACATACATTCAGTGTTTCCTATCACTCGATAAACCTGTGCTCTGTTGTTATAACTGTTAAAAGTTAATAATAATAATAATTAAGTTAAAAATTAAAATTACAATATGTGTTAAATCATAATAAATATATATTTTCAAATTTATTTTTTATGTTAAAAATATTTATCATATATTGTAATTTTATTACCAGTAGTTTTATAATTAATATACTGTACCATGATGCTCTATTGGGTGCCGTATAGATAGCTCTTGTCAACAGTTCCAGTGATCTGTCATATTGGGAACCGTTAGCAGCATTTACGGCCTCTGTTTCCAATTCTTTAGCTAACTGTTCCTCAGCTGTCAATTGTCTAGTAATGTCTGAAATTTAAAAAAAAAACAAAATACAATCGTATATATTATCAACAACTGTATAAAACTATTGACTAATTTTATATTATTTTAGTGTCTCTAATACTGACCATCACTGGCCGTATCGTTGTCATCGGTTGTGGGCATCAATGGATTAAAAATACTGTTTAACACTAATTTATCGTTTGTTGAACACATTATTATTTAATTATATTATTAGTATTCAATTTTTTTTTGAAAAACTTTAGTGTTAGCAATTAGTTTCGCTATTTGTAGTTTGAAATTTGTAATTTGAAATTTGTAATTTACAAAATATTAAAATATCTAAATTATATTTATATATATTCAATACTAATGAGTGCGCATTTAGTACAATGTTTGACAAGTTTTTTTTGTTTTAACTACAACAACAAAAATCTACTAATAATTTATTATGAAATTTATAATTAGAAAAAATAAGTTTTTTTTTTATAAAACAAAACGTGAAATACATAAATAAACTATGTGATTTGTTTGATTGATTTTATCAATTGTACATTTAGTGTGACCATTGGGACATTTTAAAAATACTAATTAATTTAGTATATTTTATTWTAAAATATAACCCTAAAAATGTATTAGATAGGTAAAATATAAAAATTTACTAAAATTTTAATATTTTAATATTAATTATACTGTATTTTTAATGTACCTAATTTGTAGAATTAAAAAAAATAATTGATAATATTCATCAAAGTTTAGACTATCAATTAATTTGTGTCAAGATTTATCCAGATCTAAATGTGGACACTCTAGTCATTGAATCATATAATTCCATGAATATTGTCAACTAATGGCATTGAAAATACTTGGATTACTTATAGAATTAATGTAATTCAAAAAATAAAAATAAAATAAAAAACAAGTTTCTGATGTAATTTTCCAATTCAATAAAATTTTAATAATATAATAATTAATTTTTTTAGAAATACCATCTAAGTTACTACTACAAAAAAAGTTAACTAGGTAATTAGTTTAATTAAATCATTTTTTATATAATTTTAAATTGAAAATAAAATGATAATTAAATAAAGTTAATTAATTCTCGTTTGTTTGTATTAATGTATAGTAGAAACAAATAATTTCAACTAATAAATCCGTAACTCAGTTATTGCATAATTAAGTTTCAATTAATTTAATAATACACTACAAACACAATAGTAATAAAAATAAAAGTTTATATAAAACAATTTCATATGTAATATATACAGTATATATATATATAATATAATAAATAAAAATTGTTGAGTAATGATAAACATAAAATGTTAAACAGTGTTTGACATTAATATAAAGCATTTAATATAACATATAATAAGTAAAGATAAGGATATTTCTCTTTGTATTAATAAAAATGAAAATACAATCAAAATATTTTTATATAGAATTTATTATTAGTCGGTAGTTATGAAATCCCAATGAGAAAAATATAATACATTTTTTTATCAGTTATGTTATAATTTATATTATTATAACTTATAAATTATATTAATAATAACTATTATAATATATGATATAATAAATTTATTATAAAAATTGTTATTAAATTGAATTAATTACAAAATGTTGGTCACAATTGTCTTAATCATAGCGATAGCGATATTCTTGTATTTTATTCAACGAGAAGAAAGCGATCCGAAAACAACATCTCAAACAAATCATATGAATAGTGTCGTCACCAGTAATGGTGTGAATAATAATAATAATAATAATACTGTCACCAAATGTGATGATGAAACCGATCTCCAGAAGCGTGAAGATAATGATAATTCACAACAACAACAACAGCTATTGTTAAGGCGTTTGCATGAAAAGGATGAGACAATCAGTCAATTGAGAAAAGAGTTGAATGAAAGTAACGCACGATTGGATAGCTATCTGTCGGTTACCAAACAGAGCCAAGAGCTGGTCCTACGCAACGATGACAGGGTTAAGGCGGTTAGCAAGTTGTGGGAGGAAAGGAACGACCAAATGGACAGACAGGTTATGACACTCGTCGAAGAAGTGGCACAATTGAAGCGACAAATCGAGAAGTCGGACGACGAGCTTAACTCATATCAGCATAAAGTTATTAATTTGTCGAAAATGTTGACCGAAAGTCAGAATCAAGTCGACGACTTGGAGTCACAGTTGGAACAGCTTATAGAGGTTGAGGACCGGTGCGCCCAAAAGTCTCAGCGCATACAACTACTACAGTCAGAGATCGAGCACTTGGAGGAAGTCAGGCGTAAAGAGGCCGACAAATACCGGAATTCAATTACCGAAAGGGATCTCAAGATTCAACAATTGGAAAGCATTTGCCACGAACTGAGAGTCAGTAGTAGTAGTAGTCCATCGACGACAGYGTCGACACAGCTGTGACCTCAACTTTTYAATTTTTAAAAACTAACCATCACCTCCCARTCCCAAATACMAATATATGTAAGTGCTRTGTGGACATACTGTACTACACACAYACACGCAAACACACCTGTCCTWAAACATTTACCACCACATTCCAAGTCAAACCATCTCAAATCACACACACACACACACATACATACCGTACCCCTTAAGCAATCATTAACATTTTATATTTAAAAAAAAAAAACATACCGGTTCTCTCKCTTTTATCTCTTTCAAGTTGTGTGCGTTTTTCAGCCTTTTTTAAGAGCCTTACTTTCCAGTGATTTAAAGTTACGATTAGTTTTTTTTAATAAAATTTATTTATTTATTTATCTCATTATAATAAATAGCTTTCATTTCATACGAGTTTTTTTTCTCTAAGCAATACAACACACACTTGTTTTGTTTAGCCAAACATTWCATAACATACTATTGAAGTTTGTAATTATAAAGTCAATAGTTTAGACTTTTTTGTTGTTGAAACTAACAAACTTCTGATATTTCTATACAYATTTGCATTTGAATTATATATATAAAAAACAAAAATAAATACTATATTTAAGTGTTTGCATAATTTATTCATTTTAATAATTAATATAATTATATAATACAACAATCATCATAATCAACGTAACGATGATTACAAAAATAATAATAATAATAAAATAAATTATACATTACTATGTATAGTGGATATATAAATAATTTTTGTGAACACAAAATTATGGCACAATATAAAACAACTTATTATATATTATGCTAAGTTGTTTAAGATTACTGTATTATTATTATTACTATTTAAAAAAACAATTTTTGATTAATAAATAAATTACTACTTATGTTAGGGAAGTGCTGACAATTTCAATTGAGATGTTATTTCAAATGCTCTCTCTCTCTCTCTCTCTCTCTCTCTCTTTACTAACAATTACTTGTAATTATAATCAATAACAATATTTATGGTATCATTAATATAACGATAAAACTAATTGGATGTATTTATATAAAGTATATATATATATATATAAAATTATRATATTTTGTTAATAACTAAAATCAATGCATTCWCACACAATTAAATATTATTGGCAGTAAATAATAACAACAAAAATATTTGAAAATCAAATTATGAYAAATTTGTTCAGAAATAAAATTGATTTTTCTATATTTAAAAAAACAATTAACAAAAAAAAGTTTGATACCATAACTAGTTATTATATACCGTATATATAAAAATTTTCGTGCAATAAGTAGTTATTAGACGCAAAAAAATTTCAATCAATAGATGTTAAAATTATATATTATTATAAAAATTGTTTTATTTTATTTTTTCAATCAACACTAATTTCAAAGTATAAAAAAAAATCTTAACCGGAGATGAAATCATAAAATTTTTTGTGCGATTTTTTATTTTAAGTCTCACTGATAATCACGGACTGTGTCTTTTGATTATTAAAATTCCTCGACTTTTATCTCAAATCAAAATGCATTAAAATTGTTTAGGAAATCCTATGATTTATTATATAACAACATATAAATGGTTTAACTAAAACTAATAAAAAAAACTAAATACTAATAATCATAAAAAAGCTCTTTTAAAATCAGTTATACAATATATATTTACACTCAATATCTTGGATACAAAAATATTTTCTCATTAATAACAAATACAATTATTATATACAGTATATGATGTTTAACATAAATTTTTCACATAAACATTATTATTATTATATCATTATGATTTTACTGTAATAATAATTATTGTTATAACTATAATTTTACATATAATTTTTCAATATTAAATACATTATTTCCATATTAAATGTTTAGGTGTGAAATATGATATATTACTGTATATATGTTAATAATATTAATATAATTTTGTAATCTGAATAACAAAAAAAAACTAGTTTTTCTCAATCATTTCAACAAATATTTGATTTTCAGATTTTTTGTTGTATATATTAGTGAATATTTTTTTTATAAAAATATATAACTAGAGAATTACATTCACAAATAAACAACTCTCGTTATTTAAAATAATAAAAAATAAATATTAATAATAATAAAAAATAACATAATTAATAATGAGATTTGACATGAAATGCATTTTTATGATAATTAGTGGATTACAAACACAAACAATTTCAATGGAGAGAGAGAGAGTAGAGTATAATGTTATGTACTTTACATTAAATGTTTTTAAAAAGGCATAGCTCGTGATGTTTAACATTTATTTTGCGGGCACAGGGATGGTAGTGGTGAGTGAAACATGAGTAATACAAGTACCCAGAAATATATATATAATCGTGAAATACTATATGATAATTACAAGTAAATGCCTTAATTGGTGGCTTAATTACATCCAAATAGCATTTTTTGTTTTTTGAAAAAAACAATCATTTTAAGAGATGACTAGACATTTATAATGTCGAGAAAAAATAACTTATTATAAATAAATAGAAACTAATTTTTTCTTTAAAAAATAAAAATAAACGCTAAATAAAAGCAGATCATTAACAACAATAATTGGATCCATAATTATAACAATTATAATTTCGGATTCAATGTTATATTATATAACACAACTTTGTTATCAAATATTTGTAATAAAACTATAATAATATGATATAGTTTTTTGTTTTCAATTCATATCGTATTTAATGCGAACCCATTCCCTGTTTTTCGACGAGTATTTAATCGCCTCAATCACTGCCTGAACGTAGAGGCCGTCCTCAAAATTGGCGGCCAAACCAACAGCTTCTTTGGCCCATCGATGAAGAATCTCATCATTGCTATGGACGTCAACACCGCTGCCGTTGTTTGGATGTCCATCGCCATCGTTGAAGCCGTTGGGCATACATTCYGTTTCAGGTGAAAACTGAAAGGCGTTCTTCAGGGCCGATAACATACGAGACAATCCCTTGCCGTAGGGCTTTGGCAACACATTATTATTATTATTGTTATTATTAATATTATTATTGTTGTTGTTTTTGGCACTTATACTGACACAGTTATCACTGATTGGGTCGTCACTGTCGGCAAATAGTAGTTCCTCTTTCCCAGAACTGTTGAGCTGAGCGTATAGATCACCGGAACGACAAACAAGATATCCTTTTGAACCGCATATCAATATTTCGTGACTAAATTTCCCGCAATAATGTGAGTTCAGTGTCACGTTAGCGACGGTTAAGCTGTTCTGCATTTCCATCTGAAAGGTAACAAAATCGTCGGCCGTTATCCTTCTCAGTCCAAACACTAAATCAAAATCAATTGTAAATAAATTATTTATTAAATTGATTGATAAATATTTTCATCAAAAAAAAACATAAAAATAAGTAAATGTCATACCATTATCTTTGAGTTGATTAAAACTTTTAACTATTCCGGTAACCCGTTTGGCACGTAGTTCGGTAACAAACGTAATAATATCGATAACATGTGTGCCGATTGTGGACAATAGACCGCCGCCCATCAGTTCATCACAACTGACAGAATAATTGTCCAAACCTTAAGACATCAATTAAAAAAACACAAAACAAACGGGAAATTATAAACCACATGAAATTATCACCAAACAGATCACATGATAACTATCATAAATACCTTGTAGTGAACTGCCGAAGACATTACAGTTGATGACATTGATTTGGCCAATATATCCGTCGGCAATCAAACTTTTCATTTTGACAAATGCCGGCAAAAATCTTAGAGTATTGAAGAATATGGTGATCAGTGACGGATAGTTAAAGGCCGCCTTTTTCATGGCCAACATCTGATCGTAGGATAGCGCGGGCGGACAGTCGCACAGTACATGTTTGCCGATACCGCACGCTTTGGTGGCAATCTGTTCGTGAAGATGTGGCGGACAAGCGATAACAATCAATTGGATGGACGACTCCAACAATACCCGATCGATAACATCGGTGGCCAATTTGATGTCCAATTCGCGGGCCATTTGTTGGGCTGTTTCGAGACAGTGCGACCAAATGGCTTCCACGCGGAAACCTTTTGATCGGAGATTGGCCACTAAAATGCGTACCAATTCGCCGCAACCAAAGATACCGATTCCGGGCAACATTGTGCTGACCGTTGTTTGCGCCGATTGGCCGACCCGTTTGAATCACAAATTAAACGATTATCGGGTTATTACTCAAGTGACCACTTGAGTTGGTGGTCATCGACGGCTAGCGAAGATTGGCCTCCGAAATGTTGCATTAGTTTTGCGCGCAAATCAATGATTGATTGATTGAATGAATCACTTATTTATTTATTTCAATGCATTTCTCTCTCAAATTTTGGGTTTCACTGCTATAATAGCAATACTATTACTAATACTAATAAACAATAATATCTATAACTTTAATATTATTAGCGATAAAATAACATTGCATTCAATAGYAAWRCATCAATACATAGCATTGCATTCACTCTCTATGTATTAAAAATAAATAATAATAATAATAAAAAACTTGACGTTTTGTTGGCAAACCGTTTATATGTAATGTTAGTATAAAATATACACAAACTGTGCGCCCATTGGCTGACAAAGCAATGCAATCATACTATCAGTGCATTTGCTTAAAATTTTGTTTGATATAAAATAATGCTTTAGTAATTAGTAATAAATAATATTAATATAAAACAAAACTCAGCGATTGCTAATAATATATGCTTTCAATACTGCATTGACAATACTGATTGCATACTGTTTTCATGTAGGCGAACACCTCTATAACACGTGTGTGTTGTTTATAGAGGTGTTTATCTATCTATCTATGAAAACGTGTTTTGATTTTTTTWAAAACACATTTAAATGTCTTCATTGAATTGTCGATCACTTGAATTGATCCCATAGTGTTGCCTAATCTTGCAGTGTTTGTCTTATTATTATTATTATTATCACCACAAGTGTGATGATGGCCACCAGCAAAGTGCTGCAAAAGATTAAGCCACGCGATGTTGACAACAGCGGCGATGAAGACTTTGTGACCGCCGATAAAGAGTTGATGGACTCGGTTGAGGACAACGATAATCGTGTTATCGGCGGCGGTGGCAGTGATGACGATGTCAATTACGACAAACTGTTGGCCGATGTTTCGTTGTTGGATTCGGCAAAGAAGAAACAATTGAAATGGAAAGCCACCCGATTCGAGGCCAAAGATGTGGTCAACGAATTTAATTTGTCGCAAAGTATGACTTCGGCGGTGAAGATATTTTTTTTGTTTATTTTGTGTCCATTTAATTGATTCTTTGATACTTTTTTTCAGGCGATAAGACCAAGTTGTCGATCAACGACCTGTTGAGCGAAGTACGCGATACGGGAACCGGTAATCTGAAGAAGTTGAAACACTGGCATAAGAGACGATTGCTGGACGAACCGCTCGAACGGTCGGAGGCCAAGAAAATCAAACGCGCCGTTAATTACGATCAAACGGGTCGGGCGTTGACCAAATGGGATCCCGTAGTCGACAGCAATCGTGCGGCATCGCAGTTGAAGTTTCCGCTCAATCAAAAAACACTGTCACTCGAACCGGCCAAAGAAGTGGTCAAAAAGTTTACGCCGAAAACGCCGATGGAGTTGCAAATTGCAGAAATGTTAAGCAAATCGGAAAACACATTAACTGATGATAAGGTACTGTATTTTCAGATTACAATAATTTACTTTTTGTCGACAATTTTGTTACCCATATATTACTTGACTCTAAACTAGGCGTTAACTGTGGCCGAAGAAAAGATAATGAAAGCGATGAGTTTAGACGAAGCCCGGATCAGACACCGAGAGATTCAAAAGATGAGAGCATTGATGAGCTATCAGGAGGTGAAACTGAAACGACAGGCAAAGATTAAGAGCAAACGGTATCACAGGATTTTGAAACGCGAACGACTGAAGAAGAGTCTCGAAGAGTTTGAAAAAGAGAAGAAAGAAAATCCCGATGCGGCCATTGATAAGCTTCAAGAGTTGGAAAAACTTCGGGCACTGGAGAGAGCCAGTCTTAAGCATAAGAATACAGGAAAGTGGGCAAAACATTTGAAACTCAGATCCAAATACGATGATAATGCAAGGGCTGCCCTCTCGGAACAGCTACAGATCAGCAATAAATTGTTGCAAAAGAAGGTACACTTTGAAGACGACGACAACGACGATGATAATAATAATAACAGTGATGATGATTCTGGCGATGACGAAGAAGATAATGCCAATAAAGATGATGAGTTTACGCCATTACCTAATGACTACAATCCATGGATGAGATCTGGCAGTACTGGTAGTGGTATTGTTCAGCCGAAACCACAACACATTAAGCAAATAAGTAACGATACAAATGCTGAAGACATTGATAGACCAATTAATTATGAAACGAGTGGTCCTATTAGTGATGAACAAATTTCAGCTGATTTGGACGTAGAGTTCATTGAAGATAATAACAATAATACCAACAACAGTGTCGTCGAAATTGACAACAATAGTGTTGTTGTTGGCAATGAAAAGACCAGCACTGAAAAGGTGGCGTCAAAAGAGGCGGCTATCGATCCAAACGATTTCATTACTGTCAAAGCAAACAAAGTGAAGTCTTCGTTTCCAAATTTAGTTACCGATTTGGATTCAGATGGTGAAGACAACGACGACGACGAATCGGATGGTGTGTCCGATGATGAACAAAGACAACTGGTGTCTGAGGCGTTCGCTGACGACGATGTACTAAACGATTTTAAGAAATCGAAACGCGAAAAGATTGAAAACGAATCGGAGAAGAATGTCAGTCTGTTTTTGCCCGGTTGGGGACAATGGGGTGGAGTAGGACTGAAGATCAGTAAGAAAAAGAAGAAACGATTTACTCTAAAACCAGCGAAAAAAGGCAAACGAAAAGATCATAGTATCGGAAATGTTATAATTTCGGAGAAAAAAGATGAAACGGTTGGCAAATATAGAGTTAAACAATTGCCGTTTCCCTACAAAAATGTCGAAGAATTTGAAAAAAGTATTCGACATCCGATCGGCCGAACGTGGAATCCCGAAGTTGCCTATCGCGAGTTGACCGAACCCAAACTGGTCACCAAAATAGGCGCAATTATAGACCCGATAGACAAGGAGGCACTCATAAATTCCAGAGTCGGTAAGAATAAAAGAAACAGTAGTTTAAAAGTAAATTTCAAATCAAAACGAAAACATCAGACAAACCAAAAGAAACCACAGAAAATACAATCGGAAAAGATATCAGAAAAATAAGTTATTTTTTTTATACAAATAAATAAATATTTAATTAAATTAAAAAATAAATAAATAAATGTTTTATGATTCATATAATAAATAGTGTGATTTGTTGTTGTTATTAAATGATTAATGTTTACGATTAAAAAAAAGTTGTGCCCAAAGCGTGTTAGTTAGTTAGCTAACTGTTCACAGTGTCGGCCCGTATATCCGACCACACATTTGCACAGATAGCTGCCCTCTGCCTTTTCCACGTTAATACATGTGCCCGAATTGGTGCACGGGTTCGGGTTCAGTTCGCACCAATCCAATCGTTCTGAGCATGTGATGCCACCCCATCCAGGTTTGCAATCACACGTCCACGGGTTTGTATTACAGGATCCCTGATCGCAGCCCGGATACGGCACACAATCGGTACAGTTAGAGCCTAACGGTGCCAAACATTACAAGTCATTCAATTGGACGATAAAAAGTTTTTTTCTAAAAGAATTGCTGCCCTACCTGTCCATCCGATTTTGCATCGACACTCTTTGGGACGCCGACACCATCCCTGCTGTTTGTCGCAGCCAACGGAGCAAATGGCTATTAATTTAAATATTAATTATTATAGTTATTTATTTTTTGTTAATAATAATACGGTAATTAATTTTTTTATTGAGTCAATTAATTAGCTAATTAGGCCTTACGCGTTGAACAAAACATGCCCTCCCAGCCATCATTGCAATTACAATCTAACGGTTCGTGACACGACCCGTGTTGACAACCAGGAAGTGTCGAACATTGGGTACAGTTGTCGCCCTCCCAGCTATAGGTTTATCCCCACCGAAAAAAATATTATACAATTAATTAATTAATTTTTTTAATTACTCTCTCATTAAACAGAAAAAAATAATTTTAAATTAATTTTATTATATTTATAAKAAAAAACTCATACCCGAATCTACACTTGCATTCACCCGGAACACTGCAATAGCCTATATTTAGATACAACAACAACAAAAAAGGATTTATTTTCAGCACATGTATCTTAATTGTCCGTTTTTATCACAAAAAATATACCGTTTTTCTGATCGCAGCCATCCTTACATTTAGCTATTTAAATACGATATTGAAATATATAAATAACTTTTTTTTGTATTGTTATTTAATTATTAAAACTATAGGACAAAGTACTTACGGGCGTTGCAAAACATGCCGGTCCAGCCTTCCTCGCACCTACACTCCAACGGTTTTGTACAGTATCCATGTGCGCACCCGGGTATAGTCATACAATAGTCACAATTCAGGCCTGTCCAACCAAATTTGCACTGACACTTACCCGGTTGTTCACAATATCTATCATTTTTTGTTGTTAAAAATAAACTAATATTAAGAATATTCTTATATCTTAAAAAGACTAATTAAATGAACTACCCGTGCGATGGATGACACGACTCCATACATATGGGTTCGTCACAGTTGTCTCCTTTCCAGCCAACAGGACATCGACTTTCATCGCGAGTCTCATTCATAAATATCTCATATGTGGGCGTTATTCGCCATCTGAACGAAAACTGTACATTTGTCGAGTTGTTCCGCTTCTGGAGGTAACCACCGCCACCACCACCACTACTGGCACTACTAATACTACTACTCTTTCCATTATAATTCCAATCGCTTCCATCGATACTATTGCTGTCAATACTAATATTCTTTGTCTCAATATATCTGGTGACGAGCTTATCATTGGTGTCGGGTTTCTGTTTATGCCAGACCTCTATAAGCACAAGTAGTTGCTTACTCTTGAGCTCATCCGCTGAATTGTTAAACAACTTATGCGAACTGATTATTGTCTTCAATTTGATGGGCAATGAATTATTTGTTATGATATCAGTCATCCAGAAAGCTATGGAACAGGAGTTCGATGACGACGTGTTGGTCAATGTCTTACCTGTTCCGGCTTTCTTGCTATCGTTGGGCGAAGTAGTAGAGGACGTCCAGAATATCCTTTTTTTAAAGAAAAGTAGCCATAATTATAACTTAAGATAATAGGTATCATATTATATAAATTATATATAGTATATACGATATATACCTATTGATAATATTTCGAAAAATAGATGGCTTTTTAGTGGAAAGTTGTTCTTCTCGGCGCTCTTTAGGCATAATAATGGTTGAGATCTTGTTTTGCTGTTCCGATATACATATCTTCCAGTATGGCCTACAAGTGGCATTACCGCCCCGACACAGACCACTCGACTTATAGCCACTGCAACAGTTTCCGTTCAATAGCCGACCGTTGCTGTTGACAAAGTCGAGGACATTAAACTCTACCGCATAGTAACTGTCTCGCAAAGAGTCCTTTTTAAGAAAATATTATTAATTTTTAATTTAATATCTATTATTACCAATAAGTAATTAAAAAAACAATACTAATTATTATAATATTAATAATATTTTAAGCAAATGTTTACTTTACTGTATTTTTTAAGGTCAAGGTTAGCAATACTTACTACCGGTATTGAAAAGTTTTAAAAGTCATAAAACTTTTATATATATATATAATAAAGAATTTAATTTAATTAAAAATAGTAATAATAATAAATAATAGAAATCAATACCTCATATATATGTGCAGTAATGACATCGATATATATGCAAAATGTTATTATTGAAACATGAAATAAAAATTTTATTATACTATTAGACATGACTTTTGTTGAGGTGTGTAATGTGTATACAGTATATACAGTATAAATATATATGTATTTCTAGAACAGATATCACAAGATAAATGACAATAAAATCAAAAAATTTTATGACATTAGATGATGATTGTTTTTAGTGATCAAATCACTACTGGGTGTAATACAACAATTACACCACAACTAAAAAAGTTTACTACCAGTGCTCTTAACATTGAATAAAATGCTAAGATTAAATATATATATATATATATATAAACTGAGTCCAAAATAAAAGTTTTCACTTAAAGTTCGTTGACTTTTAATATGTTTATTATTATCATATTATTTTWTTTTTTTGCTTTTTGATGGGCACTGAAACTAAAACTTGAATTAAGTCGTTATACTACTAGAAGTAGTATTAGTAGTACTTGTCTGCCGTTAGGTAAGGTCCAGGTCTTATAAGTCACTACTAATACAACTACAGTACTAACACTATATTATTATTATTATGTAATACAATATCAAGAATTTTTTTAAAAAAAACATAGTTTTCTAATCTTGTATTTTAGTTGAAAATTTATTTATTTTTTTTAAAAAAAGTTAAAAACTCTATCTCTATCTATCTAACGATGCGATGTGTAAATTAGTCGACACATACATACATATACTGTAGACCAGACAGACATACATTATATACAATACCAGTGCTATTGGATTGTCTTCCGGTGAGAGCACTCTCGAGAACTGGTAGAACATAACCTTTCTTTCCTTTTTTTTTTTACTTAAAGGTGACGGTTATGTTGTGAATGTGTTTTCTTGCGGTTAATACATTTAAATGTAATTATTTTCTATTTTTACTCATATTTTTTGTGCAGATTTTTAAAAAAAAAAATCTAATTTTTGTGTGAAATTTTAAGTATATATTATATATAAATTATACTAATAATAATAATATGCACTTAAATACATATTTTAAACTTAATGTCTATTATCTTTTATTTTTTTCTCGTTTTTTTCTCTCTCTCTCTCTTAAATCTATAGGTGCCTGTAAGTTGAGTATTATAAACTATTTTTTCTAACTATTAAAGTTTTTTACTATTTAAACTATTTAAAAAAAAACTCTAATAAAATTAGTCTATTTTTTAAAAAAATATCAGTCACTGGGAAGTTATGTACCTGTAATTATAAAATAATTAATATATAGATATTATTATTATAGATATAATATTCTATATAATATTCTTATATATAAATCTTATAGTCTTTATTGATAAAATAATAATTAAATCAACAGTTTTTTTACTAATAATTATAAAACATATTTTTAAAAATTATAGATTTTTATATATTCTATTAATACATATATATATATATAAGATATTTTTATCTCTAATTATAATAAATATAATATTATTTAAATAATAAATTAAAGAAATTAGTAAATATAAAATTTATAATTTTTTATACATCGTTTTTCAATATAATATATTTTCTTGTTTTGCAAATTAAATAAATATAACTAAAATCTTATTATTAAGTTATACTTTTTAGCATATTTTTGAGTATTCATGCAATTTTTTAATTAATTGCAACGTAAAAGTTATTTTTAAGCTTAAGTTATTGTTTTAAAGTTTTTTTAGCATTTAAAATAACATTATTATATTGATTTTATTTAAAAATAGGCAATTAGAATAATTCTATATAATTCTAAAAAAAAATTCTAACCACATATAATGTAGAATATTTTGATTTTAATATTTTATATTTTTAAATAATATTTATATGATTATAATATATCAATAATATCTATCTATTGTATGTACTGTACAATACTGTATGTTAATTTTTTATTATATTTAAATTACGATAAAAATATTCAAAGCTATAATTAATTACTATTAAAATATTATTTGTATTAATTAATATAACTATTGTATTAATATTTCAATTAATATTTGTATTATAATAAGAAAATATTTGAATAATATAACTGTTAAACAAACAATCGAAAACATTGAACACTTTGTTCATTACAATTACATAACAATTGATAACCAAATACTATAAACTACCAGTCAGTTTGAAACAAGTGTTGATTATAACTGTATTTAAATTATCTACTATTTTGACAATTATTAAATTTATGATTAGTGGCTCTACTAATAAATCGTATCTTATTAGCACTGGTAGGTGATTTTACACATATATATGGTAATGGATATCTATTATCATATATAGTGTCAACAATTTTATTTAGTTTAACTCATAATTCATACAAACTGGTTATGATATATCAGGATTTCAATAAAAATTATTATAAATTCTTGTATTTTATTTATGACATGAAATCTAGTCGATTAAACTATAGACTAATAATTATAATAATTATAATCTGTTTATTATTAGATTTTTAATTTTAAGTTTTATAAAAATTTTATTGTCCACTACTTATTTTTAATTACTATTTTGATGAATATAATTACCAAAATATATGTTTACCCAAACAAACTATCTATCCAGTTCAATTATATTTATCGTTATATGGTTATTAATTACAGTAATAGATTTTTTTGGTTACTTGTAGGTTATGTATATATAATTTTCTTTTTTTTTGCCAATAATTTATTAAAGTTTTAAAGTTTTTGGAAATTTCCCGCAAGTTTCAATCTGTCTATAATATAGGTTACATCGGAAAACTTGAGCATATATTGTATAGTATATATAAAAATTATATCATTATTTCATTTCTATTAATATAATAATAGATTATTAAATGAAATGAAAAAGTTTTTCGTTATTGAATATCTTTAAAACTAAACATTATATTTAAATATTGTAAATAAAATAATAAATATTGCTAAAAAATTTTCACTATTTCATAATCAAGTATTATAGTACTGTATAATCATTGAATTTGACTTAACTTACGCTAATTATTAATTAAAAAAACACAAACAAAATTAATATTATTATTCAAGTTAAAGACTATCCAAAAAACATAATGTATTTAAAAAAAGTTATCAAAAATCTATAGTTTTATAAATAATTGTAATGAAAGCATAAACAAATTGTTATATAAAATGACTATTTTATTGAAAAACAAATTGAATTGAATGTGTATTTTATTACAAAATATAATAATTATAATAATAGTGAATATGATTATAGGTTGTGTCGACAGTACCCGACGATAGACTGGCCACTCAAAAGGCCAACTTTTTCATCAATAGGTACACGTGTTTGTCGGTTTCAAATCCGTGCAAATTATTCGGGTCTCCCTGTAATCGCATGAGTAGACCGCCAAACGATACATAAGCGGCCAAACGGGTGGCATCATTGAAACCATCGTCGCCTTCGATACGATATATCTTACCGTACATTACGTACTCAAAGTTATCGGCTCTGGATGTGGTCGCCGACTGTTCAGTGGCCAACCATTCGCCGTCATCAGGATAGCCGTCCTCTCTGAGTGTGCTGGCCACTACCAACCGAAATTTGTCGCCCAAATCGACGGGATATATCTGATTGTTGACGTCCAGTATGAGGTCCATCTTGAATGACTCGCTTTCGCAGTGCAATCTGGACACGCGGTCAAACTTTTTGCCCTCCGGGTCGATGTCCTTCACGTCAAATATGTCCTCAAACAGTACGCCGGCCATCGCTGATCAAACACACGGCGCGCGTTGTTGTCGATGTCGGCAAACACTGATAATCGGTCACAAATGTCTCGGAAACTTTGAATCGGATAATTTGGTTGAATTATTATCCTTATTGTTGTTGTAGTTACCCGACGGGTGTGTGTGTGTTGTTATTGTTGGTCACCGATAATAATGTAATTATAATGAATGGACAAAACACACGTGTGATTACTAATAATGCAATCAAAATACTGTGTATACAAAGTGTACAATAAATAGCAGTAAAACTATTTCAACAAATTGTTTGTTAAAATAAAAATAGCAAACAATAGACAATAAAACACGTCTCACTTATTATTTAATAATAATATCATATAATTATTTATTACATTATAATACATTATTGTCAATGTTTTGTTGGATCAGTTAGTTTTGGTGACAGTATGTGTGTGTTAACCATAGATAAAATTACAAATTGATTAAATAGTTATTGATTGCTAATTGTTTTTTAAAAAAATCAATTATTAATATATCAATTGGTAATAATTGATTGAAAACTAAAACCCATTATAACATATGCATAGAGTTTACGTTATCAATGGTTTGTTATGTTTATTATTATTACAGTATTATTATTATATGATATTTATTACATTCAATGCAATAGACTGTAAATATATAGGACTTTAACACCCATTCAATGATCACAACAATAATAATAACAACAATAATCATATCGTCATCGATGGTTATAATTGGTTACCATTGATTGTGAAGACATTGAGAGACAGACTACATACTGACCAACACATCAATGGCCAATCCGTTTGACGAATCAGAAGACGAAGTGGCCGCTGCCGTCGGCGTCTCGGGTGACGATATGACCGTCAAAGAGGGCCTCTTGTGTCCCGTTTGTGTTCAAGACTTTAAGACTATCGGTCAACTCAGGGATCACTTCGAGACGAATCACAAGCAAGAGTTTGCCGCACAACAGACCAATCAAACCAAACAACTCGGACTACAAATCAAGGGTTTTATTACGAAAACGAAAAAAATATTGAAAAACGACAACAATCTGACCATTGATGACGGCGGCAGCGAATCATTGGCCAGCGGTTCAAGCGGTCAGTCGTATGTTGACATCTGGAGACGACAAATGACTATAGGTTTGATCAGTATTTGTGTGCATTTGATAGTACTGTACAATAAAGTGTCACTCAATATGTCTATTAAAATGATGTTTTTATTGTCTGATCCGTAGGTGAGACTCGCAATCACTTGGATTGGTTCCGTAAGATACGTGACTCAAGAATCGAAAGATATGTTATCGAAACAAATAAACTGTTGATCAGATTAGACAAACTGATTACCGATGCACCGAAAGATCCGGAAAAACGTAAACTACATGAGCGAAGTATTGTCGTTTGGGCCAATGATGTCGACGTCCGACTCTGTCCTAACTGTGCAAAGAGTTTCAATTTGTCCCGTCGGCGACATCACTGTCGACTGTGCGGCGGTATTATGTGTCACAACTGTTCCCAATTTCTTGACTTTATCTATGCCCGTAAGTGTACTGTATTTGTTTGTGTGTAATGATAGGATACACTTGTTGTGACCATATTTTCTTTGATAACCGATTTATTAATTAATTTATTTTTAGGTAAACTAATTAGTCCAACAAATTTAGACGAAGCAAGTCTTGCGATGCTTCCGCGTACAAAGTCGGCCTCGACATCAAACCTGACCCGACGGGGCAGTAGTAGTAGTTTGTTATCGATTGTCAATCAATCGGGTGAACCGCATATCCGTGTCTGTAGAGACTGTAAGACACTATTGGCCAGACGTGATCAGCAAATTGAAGATAATCTGGCAAAACCAATATTAGCGCAATTTTATGATCGTATGCGACAACAGCTCAAAGATATCGAGAGATTGACACCACTTTACTATCAAATGAGTGATTCATTAAAGTATATTATTTATATAAAAAATATATATTTAACTAATAGAAGAAATTTTAATTATTTATTAATTATTAAAAAAAATTTAATTTGTTTCAATAGTTTAGGGGAAACCAATTACAGTTTACTTGACGCTCAAGAGTTGAAACTCAAATTAACTAAATTAGCTGAAAGTGTTGATAGTATTAGGTATGAGAAACCATAAAATGTTTGATTTATTGGTAATTTATTTTTACAATTTATAGCAAAAAGATTGCAACTCTTGGCTCACAAGATGAACAACAACCGCATCCCAAACAACAACAATTGCAAACATCTATCCGGTCGTCGGTTACACACTTTTTGCGGCAAACAATGCTAGGATTGCCGGCTCTGCCGACACCGGATGAGCTGCGAAAATATCAGGAACAGAGACGACTTGAGATTGATAAGCGAATCCAATACGAGAGACAGTTGGCACTGGAAGATCAGCAACGGTATGCATCGCCCAAACGACAAACTGTTACGCTTAGCAACAACTTCACGGAATCGACAGCTAGTCGTACGGATAACGATGACTCTGTAATAGTTTCGCCGGAAGACGGTTGGAATCCAGAGTTTGCGTCCAACAGAAGATCCAATCGTGAGGATAACGGCAGCGGCGCCGACAACGGCATGGATCCGATGCTACAGCAGATCAATATTATACGCAATTATATACGTCAGGCCCGGGAGGCGCACAAATACGATGAGTTGCATATGTTGGAGGAAAACCTAAAGGAACTGGAGATCGAGTATTTTGTTCAACAACATGGAAATCAAACACAAGAGTCACATTCGTCGTCGTGACCACTGGTCATTGACGGGTGACACACGTCGGGACAATTGAAGCAAAATGTTATATAAATTGTTGTTTTAATGATATTCAAATAACATGAAATTTATGTCCAATAACCGTAAATCGTTGAACTAATTTTTAGGCATAAAATTGTTTTTTTTAATTCAATTGCATTGTGATTACTGTTTACTGTAATATATTACGGATAATACTGTATTAATTACGGGATGTATTTGTATTATCGTTTTATGTTTATATACATAATTTTATTTCCGCAACAATAATGTGATGTTTGTTTGCAATTTTTTAGCATAAAATCTTTTATTTTATATATACCATATTATACAATATTACTACTATTTATATTATTATGATTGTAAACTATATTATTTAAGTTTTTATTATTATTATTATATAATTCAAGATCTAATTTATTGTTATTTTATGGGATATAATCATTAAATTCATAAAGATTACCGTAAGCACAATATATGTTTATGTTTATTGAAAGTTATTCATTATTATCTAATAATGATAATAATATCTAAATAATAATTATAAAATTGTATTAATATCTAAATAATAAGTTAATAAATTTATATATATGAAATTGTTGTTAAATTAACGATTTAAAAAAATTATATTACTAATAATAAAGTATAAATTAATTAATTAATTAATTAAGAATAAATATTGAAATTAAATTTACCATATATAAAATCTCCCCTAATTATACAGTATATTTATCAATAATCATATATTAATATATTGTATATATATAAAATATTGTTTAAAATCAAATTATTAGACTATATAAAATAATTTTTACATTTTTAAAAATTAAATACTAGTTTTTTTTCGATGAATTCAAATGACAATCAGGTTTGCATCAGTTTTTTAAAAATATAGTTTTAAGGGTTATTAAAACAATAGACTCTATTGAATATCCTATTGTATAGAGAATTAATAAAAGCTTTCCATCCCTTATCACTAGTGCATCAATAGTAAAAAATAATAATAGTTATAATAGTTTTTTTTTATAAATCTATGAAACTATTGCATTTTATATTGTAATTTATATGCAGTTATATAAATCATAATGTATTATTGTAAATGATAGTCAATTAATATTATAGAAATTTTTTTTATAATACCACTAAACTCATTAAACTTTTTTTTAATACAGTATATTTAGCAATTAGTTAAATATAATGTAATACTAGTCAGTATATTAATTGTGAAAGTTATTTGTAGATTTTATATCGATGTAAATGTTAGTACAGTATTAGTAGTAATTATCATATTATAAAATAACATATCTATTTGAATGAACGCAATTTAACTATTAATAATTTTCATAATAGTTATAGAAATATAAAAAGATTTTGTAAAGATTTATTTTAATAATCAGGGTCATATTATACAGTATATACACAGTATATAGAGTAAATACAGTATATATCTCTTAATAAATAAAATACAAAATTTAATACAAAAAAACACAAAAGTGATACAAAATTTGTAAATATAAATAGTAAAACATAAAAATAAATTGTCGAAAAATTAAATTACAATATATATATATATATATATATATAAATTATAATACTATTCTGTACAGTATACTAAAAATAATGTACAAATTTGATAAATATTTATCATAAAATGAAAAATGAAAACAATAATAGATAATCATTAATATCATTAAAAAAATTGATTGATTTGTTGTTTTCGATAAATAAATATGAATTACATCGTCGATCTCATCTGATTTCCCGTATCGCCAACATTGGAGGGCATACTAGACTTCGACTTTCCAACAGCACCTGTACTACTGGTACCCGTTTTACTACCAGTCTTTGACTGTCCGGTCGACGATTTAGCGGACTTTGACTTTACCGGTGCCGCTGACGAATCGCTGTCTTTTTTGTCTTCCGACTTACGGCTTCCCATCATAAAGCAGACGATACATATGACAATCGCAACAATAATAATGATAATTATTATCACAACTATTATTATCCATAAGAGAGACGAACCGCTGTCACTGTTGGCAGTGGTCGACCCGACAGATGATGTATTATCAGATTCATCTGCTGTTATGCCGACCGGTTGGCTTGTAGTTTGGTTTGACGACGACCCAAGACCTTCGCCCTCCGCTCCTTCGCCCATCTGTGTTGTCGGTTGGGTGGGCGGCGGCGGTGGCGTAAACTTTACACAGTCGATCAATGTGTTGGTTCCCTGATTGCACTGTTAATACAGTATAAACATATTATTATAGTTATTAAAAAACACTTTACACGCCTAACCACTCTCTACCCCCAACCCCTATCCAACTATTATTACCTCAAAGCTGAAACCGCTGACATCAGTCGTACAAAACTCTATGGAAGTGTTGGTCTTATAGTAGACCATAAACTTATCGTTAGAATAGGGACCCATAATCAGTACAATCTCGTAGACGTGACGATTGCCGGTAAACAGCGGTAAATATGGCATATCCTTCCATTCGTCGATCATCTTTTGGGTGACATTTTTTGGTGCCTTTTTGTCCTCAAAGTCAATGCAAGTCATTTTGCCGATAAAATCTTGACCGTCGGGATTGATTGTATAGAAACACATCCAGTTTTTGTCAAACAATGATAGGCTGAGAGTTGGATTAAATTGCTGGTCATAGTTGGTGTGAATGTGCGACTGAGGCAGACCAGGCACTTGTGACGGGTTTGACAGATCGTTCAGATCTTTTCCCGGGAATCCTATCCAATCGACAAGTGGTTTGTCGGCCTTTAATGAATAAAAATGTTAGAGAAGAGAGAGAAGAGAGAGGAGATAGAGAGAGAGAGAGAGAGAGAGAGAGAGGAGAKAGAGAGAGAGAGAGAGAGAGAGAGAGAGAGAGAGAGAGAGAGAGAGAGAGAGAGAGAGAGAGAGAGAGAGAGAGAGAGAAGAGAGAGAAGAGAGAGAAGAGAGAGAGAGAGAGAGAGAGAGAGAGAGAGAGAGAGAGAGAGAGAGAAGAGAGAGAAGAGAGAGAAGAGAGAGAAGAGAGAGAGAGAGAGAAGAGAGAGAAGAGAGAGAAGAGAGAGAAGAGAGAGAAGAGAGAGAAGAGAGAGAAGAGAGAGAGACTAAATAATAATACCCTAAGAAATCCATGAATGGCTGCGTCTTCCTGGTCTCTCAACGTAAAGCCAGTCCTATATTTAGTGCCGGATATCTCAGGTATAACCGACTTATGGAAAGAGTCTTTATGCGTCCATATGTTGTCGTCGATGGCAAACACTTTGAGATCTTCGAACGGATTAGTTGTGAACCGTATCCTCTGAAACGTATAGCTCAGCCGATAGTGTTTGTTAGCAAACAGTTGGCAAAAGTCATCGTCACAATCAGCCAAACCGATCAGCTCAGCGGCTGTGGTCACTATGACGGGTGAAGAGAGAGGACAGGGATGACACAGTAAGACATAAGTGTTAGATATAGTTTGTCGGTTAGAAATTTGTCGGTTAAATCTTAAAAGGATTTAGGGATAAGGTTTGGAAGGATGTCATACCTATGATAATGATATTCATTAATCTATAGCTATTCATATTGGATTTCATCAAATTTAGTTCAGATAATATCAGTGCCAATAAGTGGATCGTATCTGTCGTAACTGTCGAATGAAAATAACGGTCGAGTTTTTGTTTTTTGTATAATTAATTCAAATTGCTGTACAAAAAAGTATCAATTATTATATTAAATTAGTAGTACTTAATTAGTAACAATAACTGCTAATTTGGTTGTAATTTCAAAAAATTAATTGTTTGTTTCGCGCAAATTGTCTCAAAACTGTTTCTTTCTATTTTTGTTGTATTAATGTTTGAAATTCAAACTTTGAAATCATTGTTACAGTTATAACACGTGAAATCAATTACACGCGCGCTATCACTACTGTATACTTTTCAAATTATTAAAGTAATGATTAATTTAATTTTTTTTATCATATAATTCAATTCAGACAATACAGTAGAAAAATAAAACACTAAAAATAAATTGTGATTAATATTTTGATTTTACAGTTCAGACAGTATAACACAATTATCATTCAAATTGTTATTTATTTATATATGTGTTTATAAAAAGTCAATTGATTAGCAATAGTAGTGTTGATACCAATCGACGACCTGTCCTATTGATGAGTATACCGAGCGATAAAAAATTAGTCAAACTATCGGACGAAGAGTCAAATATATTGAACCGTAAGGGCTATACTATTGAGAAATACTCGCTAAACTCTGGCGCCTACGCCGATGTCTACAAAGGCCAACACAATGGACAGGATGTGGCCATCAAAGTGATTGACACCAGAAAAGTATCCGAAGACTATAGAAGCAAATTCTTGCCGCGAGAACTTTATATTATGCGTAAACTAAAGCATCGATTTATACCCCGTATGGATGAGATACTGTTGATCGGTAATCGTATATTTGTAGTCATGGAATTGGCCGAAGGCGGCGATTTGTTGGATATGATTAACGCTAATCGCCGGCCATTGACAGAACCGGTAGCCAAACGCTACTATCGACAAGTGTCCGAAGCACTGGACTATATACACAACGAAGCAATAGCCCATCGGGACATCAAATGCGAGAATATTTTGCTAAACAAACAGAAAACAGTGGCCAAACTGACCGACTTTGGGTTTGCCCGAACCTGTTTCAATGCACAAAGCGGTTATCGTATGTTAGCCGAAACCCAGTGCGGTACTACTGGTTACGCATCGCCCGAACTGCTCAGCGGACAGCCGTTTGACGCTATGATGAACGACTGTTGGGGAATGGGTGTTGTACTGTACGTAATGTTGACCACCAAAATGCCGTTTACCGTCAAACACTTGCGCACCAAACAGCTGACCAAACACTATAGACTACAACAATTGCCAATCAGTGACGACAGCAAAGATCTGATTTCCAAACTGCTTGAACCAGAAGTCAGCAAAAGACTAGCAATGCCTCAGGTTCTCAACCATCGGTGGCTTAAAGGGGTTAAAGTTTAAAATCGTCGATTAAAGCCCAGAGAATCGGTAGTATTTCGGACAGTTAGTTAGTTTGTGTTGTTTATATATACAGTATATATATATATATATATGAAATGAAAACGTAGAAAATTCATAGATAAATAAAATACTGTAATAAACATTAATTTTTTTACATTAAAATCTTGGAATAATGTATTTGTATTTATTTATTAAAAATAAAAAAAATATTTATTATAACGATAATATGTATTGTATTCATTAATAGTTTAATAATTTATTACC